GTGGGGGGGGGTGTTGAACCCCTGGATCGGGGTGGGCTAGGGCTGGGCCTGTGCCAGGCTCTTCCCAGCCAGGCAGGTGTGGGTGCACACGCCTCCCATGCCCTCCCAGATGAGCGGTGGGAGCAGCATCAGTAGCCACCAGATGAGCATCGGATGAGCAGCAAGTAGCAGCAGGAGCCACCCTCCCTTTCCCCCCCATCCTTCTCCTGGACAAGCCACAGCTTCATGCCATGCCTTCCCTACCCCAGCTGAGCATCCTCTGCCCCAGCCCCACACACTCCCTTACCGTGGGGGCCTTGATCTGTCCCTCCACACCCCTTCCCTCCCCTGTGCCGTCCCATCCTTTCCCCTGTCCCCTCCCACCACACCAGACATACCAGCTGCAGGCAGCTCTCCATGCTGCTGGCTCTACTCCTCACTGCCTATGTGCTGCACTGTGGCTGCATGCACGCGCAGGCATTTATCGGACAAATCATTGGCTGCATCGGGCCAATTTCTGATGCAGAAAATTTTCTTTATATTGGTGCTGATCCAGTATCATTCCTATGTATTAGTGCACCTCTAATTGAAACTTGTTCAACTATATAAATCAGTAGTATGCTTTTATCACCAGTACTGCATTCAAGTGTAGACACCTTATCGTGACCAGAATGTAGCAGGAATGTAAAGGACTCGGGAGCAAAAAATATTGATATAGATGTGGAAAGACTTTGAGGAGAGGTTGAAAATCTGGGTTAGTTCAGTTTAGGAAGATTTGATACGTCAAATGATTAGTTGTATACAGAAAGTAAATCAGGACTCTTTTTATCCATTCTTACAGTAGAAGGGCAAGGGAACATTAAAAGAAATTGAAAGGTAGAAAACTTAACATTTGAAAGAGGAAAAACTTCTTCTTGTTTCATTATTCTTTGGCACTTAGCGATGTAACGTGAAATGCTTAGTGAGGTTCAAAAGGGGACGTTTATAGCATGGATTTTCAAAGGGGTATCATGGGAGCTAAACGAATTAGGTGTCCAACTCCCATGAAATCTTTGAAAAATTCTAGTATGTATGAATAAGTGTAACCTCTGTAGAGAGTTAAATGGAATTTGAGAATTGTTTAGAAAATAGATATGCAGGCCACATCATTGTTCATTTGTAGCAGTGGGAATTTTTGCCCCTGTTCCTTGTGCCTTTCTGAGTCTGGTGTGATCCTGGTCTGGGAAAGTCTGGGTTGCAAACTATAGTCTTCCTGTTCTTGGGAGAGTGAAGCAGCAGGGCAAAGCCCTCTGCCCATTTCTCAGTGTGTCTCTGGTCTGAAAAGCTTTTGAGACCCCCAGCATGAGCTGAGAAGCTCTGGGTACCCTGGTGTGTCAGAAGTCAGTGGAGAGCAGCTTGGGCCTGCCCCTTCTCTCCCCTTCCTGTCTATTTGTTGGGGGGAGCAGGGAGAGGGAGCAGGTGCCCCCTATGATTACTCCAGAGTGGTGTGAGCCTTTCCCCATGGTTCCACTCCTCCTGGGGCCTGGGAGAAGTAAAGCAGCAGGGAAGCGTATAAGTAGTGTAGTGCAATGGGGGAACATCCACCTGCCTCAGTGGGTACAGGGCATGCAGCCTTGGGGTCTTGTGGCCCCTGCTAGTGCTACTTCTGTGGCATACACCTCCCACTGGTATGTCCCATGGGGCATGTGGCCCCTGGCTGCTTTGAAGTCAGGCAGCTCTGCCTCAGAGTATAAGCTGCTAACTTTTGGGAAAAAAATTCTCCTGATGAACATTTTATTTCATAGTTGTCTACTCTGTCATTTCTTGCATTTCTGAAATATTTGGGCACTGCTGGAGATGAGAGATACTGGACTAGGTAGAAAACTGTTGTGACCTGCTATGATAGTTTCTGTAAGTTTATTATTAGGTGGTTTGCAGTCATGAGAAACAATAGAGTCTTTATATGCAGTTTTATTACTTTATACTGTGCTTCTCTGTTCCAGAATGTTTGAAATTTTTTTTTTTTTTTTTTAGGTTCCAGTCTGAAAGAGAGAGTGGAGATAGAAATTTTGCAATAGGCTATTACTTGAAAGAAAAAAAGGTTTATGGATCTTTTGTGTATCAACTTTACAAGCCTTGTATTTTTTTTTTTTTTTAGTCTTAAGCTCTGCTGTCTGTTGTATAGACTGATATTACTGACAATGTTTAAAACATTATGTCATACAGTATTTCTCAAATAAGTTTTGTGAAGCTACAAAAAATGTAGACACATTCAAAAAAGTTACTAGAACATCTTTCACCTTATTTTTGCAAATTTGGTTAATGATTCTAAAGCTATGTTCTTTAAACTTTTTTTAAATACATGTTTTTTGCAGCAAAACCAACATTTGAAAAAATGTATGTGCAACTTTAAGTGCTTCAATATAAGGTTAAAGAGTCATTGCAAATATTTCACAAAGATGCTTTAGTGCCTAGTGTAGTTAGCTATATGATATTTGTATTTTTTTAAATTGGAGGTCATTTCTTATTTTGGAGTGTTAATACTTTTTTATTTTTAAAAGTTTTTAATTTAATTAAACTTAATTTAATTTTACATTTTGCATATTAACAGCAATTTAGTTTGACTTTTTGATCTTGAATTTTATTTAATATATGTGTGTATATATGTAATTATATATAGTGTGTGTGTGTGATTACTTTCTTTAAGCCAACATGTTTTTAAAAGATTCCTTTTACTACTTTCCACAGTGTTTTCCAGAAGGCACAGATATGGTTGCTATATTAGACTTCTATTTCCAGGTAATTCCTACTAAGTAATCTTGCATACTTTTTGTGGACTTGGATTTAAGCACCCCAAGCTGAATTATTCATGCATAAACTGGGTCATTAATGCGATTTAGTTAAGTTTGAATTTAAGTTTGGTTTGCTTATTATTTGAGAATGAACAATGTGCATTTGAAATATCAAAACTGTTTTTGCTGATTTACAATTTTCCATTGCTAGTGTAGATTGTAAAAATTCAGTAAGAGAATGTATGGTGGATTGAGTTACGGATAGCTGCATTATTCATAAGGGGTTTTGACAAATTATTAGGCTTCTCTGTTGCTCTTTCTTCATTGTTACATAATGGAAGGCAGGGTTGGGTGATCCATTAGAGCAGCTGTTTTTCAAACTTTTTAGACTCAAAGCACTCCTCAGAAAATACCATCTTTTAGTTTTCATTCATTTTTTGACTCCATAAAAATAATAGAGCAATTTTCCTGTTGCAAAGAATTCAAAGACCACAGCAGGTCAGAATTTTTTTAATGTTATGGATTCCTATTTGAACTCTCTGGGTTTATCTCGTGAATCATATTTGCACACCTAACAGTGCTAACAATGTATGGCACCCCCACAATCACCCTTAAAAGGCTCTCAAGGCACCTTGGTTGAGAATAACTGCTTTGGGGACTATGTGGTTCAGCAATGCATGAACATTTCTAGGCTACAACCCTCTTTGTTGAATGCTGTCGTCCTTAACCATCTCTTGGGAGGGAAAGCCTTAATTTTATAGTATGAATACAATCCCGTTATAGTATAAATACAATAGTGTGCATACATTTTATTGGTAGTGTTGAAGTAATGTTGTTGCCATAATGGTCCAGGAAGAGGAAATAATTTTTCTGGGCGATAGCTTTTATTAGACCAGCATGTCTGGGACATAGACAGTCTTTCAGATATCATCCAAATTCTTGCCATATAATTTATTGAAAGTTTAAAGATTAGTACCATATTTACCCAAATGGAAGATGATGTAAAATTTTAGAACAAGCCTGCAATAATTAGATTCTATATCTGATGAATTTTATAAAATTGTTATGCTTTTTCCTACATAGACTCTAATTATGAGAGGGTAGTCATAAATTTGCAACACTTCCCCCACCACTGCTGCAGCATGGAAAGCAATACCGGGGGTGGGGAGAGAAAGGATAAGTTATGAGGAAGTCAAGCAGCCTGATTCCTTCCTTGACCTCTGTCTAGGCTCTCTCTGCTGCCTGCATGCCTCACCATCCTCCTTTTCTGCTTACCCTCAGTTGCGGCTCTGGTTTGGGGCATGGAACATATGGTGGATCTGGCCCTTGCCTGGCCAGGTAGCAGCAGTTGTGGTGCCTGGGTTGCAGCTGGGACAAGAGCTGCTGCCACTACCATTGTTGCTGCCTGACCAAGTTGGGGCCAGAGCAACCATATACTGTATGCCTCAGGTCCAAGTGTGGCCAGAACTGGAGCCATGACTGAAGGTAAGCAGGGGGCAGAGGCAGGTGGCAGTGGGAGGCAATGGCTTCGACTCTGACCCTTTACCTCATGCCAGTCACACCCATCTGAATTTCTGGTCACATGCCCTTACCCACTGATTTCTGTACCAGTCTCTTTCCTGTTAGCTTTTTTGTCCCAGTCTCTTGTCTATCTGGTCTCATTTCTCTCCTTTTATTTCACCTCAATTTCGTATTTGTCTTTTTATATTTTCTTGCCTATTTCTCTTACATATATCCAGCTCCTCATCCTGTCTCAGTTGTTTCCCTGATCCTAGTTTCCCCTTCTCCCACTAAGGAATTAAGTCCAAGCCTGGTTCTTGCTCCTGGAAGAACATTTTCTTCTTCCATGCTGCCTGGGTACAACAAAGGTCATAACAAACACAGGAAACAACCTTGTACTTTCAGTCCTTCCTGTAGAGCAGTGGTCTCCAAAGTGGGGTGTGTGCACCCCTGGGGGTGCATAAGACAATCCATTGGCGTGCGGGAAGAAAAAATTAGAACTTCTATTTATATTTATTTTTTATCTAAAAAAAAATAAGAAATTAAGCTTTACTAATATTAAATATACGGATTGACACTGGTGCCCTCATTGGTCCCGTATGTCAGATGGTCACATGTCATGTACGGTATGCGAGTAGTACATGTATATAATTTATAAATAAATAAATATACATATATTGGGGGTGCGTGCTCAAAAATTTTTTTACTGATAGGGGTGCGCGATCAAAGAAGTTTGGAGACCGTTGCTGTAGAGGATGTCCTGCTCATCCCTGTGCTGGACGTATTAATATGAGTGGAATTCTCAGGGATTTTAAGCTACTAAAATCTAAGAAGCATCTGTTTGCAAACCTTAACTTTTCAAAGCTTATAATTTGGCCTAAAATGGGCAAGTTACATACTTAACTCAGAGGCCACCCCATGCCAAATTTTGGGTCTGCTATACAAAGTATGAGGTTGCTTGGAAGTTTTAAAAGAGAAGATTGTTAGAATATATGTGTATGTTTTTATCATGGATGAATGCATTTTTCCTATCCTGGTTTTTGGAAGTGACTAGTGTTCGAATGAAGATTTTCTTTGTAAAAATACATCAATATATAAATAAATCAGTCTGAGCTGGATGTCCAGTTTGGAAACTTTTAGCTCAGACTATAAAAATCTGGCAAAGTTGTAAGTGACTGAAAACAGAATCTTATACCAGAAGTGCCAGGCATTCTTAATACTAGAAGCTTCTACCAATCCCACTTACGTGAATGAATTTTTTTATTAAATTATTATAACATCATTTGTCTGGGGACATTGGGTCACTGCCCTTTAGTATGCTGTGGATATATAGAAATTTTATGTGCAAATAAATTATTTTCTCTTCTATAAGTTGTGTTCTATTGAAGTGACCTGTGAATCAGCCAGTGTGATGGCAGCAACTTTGGCTAATGGTGGCTTTTGCCCAATCACTGGTGAAAGAGTACTGAGTCCTGAAGCAGTCCGCAATACCCTGAGTTTAATGCATTCTTGTGGCATGTACGACTTTTCAGGGCAGTTTGCCTTTCATGTAAGTAACTTTAGTATGCTAATCACATCTGGCAAGGAAAACTGATTTATGTTGTTTTTTGAATAAACATCCAGAACTGTTCATTCTATACTTCAGTTGTCTTATTCATTGCTCAGAGACTTAATACAACATTGTTTGGAAGTATGTTAACTAAGAGTCCTCAAATTAATCATTATAAAGCATTGCAGATGCTTTTTATTGATACTTTTAAATGTGGGAGCAAACAAATTTAACTTTAAAGAGGTATCTTTAAATATTGTAGCCTAGATTGAAAAAGTATATGATTGAAACAAACATAACTGAAAAAAATCCAAAATTAAGGCTTTGTACAGACATTCAGTTCCTCCTGGGAGAGTTGCATCCCTCTCTAGAGAAACCACAAGTGTATAGATGTTCAAGCTTTTTCTCCCAGGTTAAAAATGGCTGCTTAAAGAGAAAAATAACTTGGAAACAACTAGAGTTAAATCACTGCAAGGGGAGTTTCTCCTGATAAGAGTGAATGGTCTGTCCATGCTGTGGCTTCTCTCAGAAGAGAACATAGTCCTCCAGCATGCGCCCTGGGAGACAGTGTGTGGTTTGCTGGACTCTGCTGCCCCAGCAGGAAGCAGAACATGTCCCTTTCACAAATCGTTACATTGTGCTGCAAGGAAACACAGGCTGACAATGAGCTGTCTGCGTCAGCCAATCAGGGCTGCCCTATGCACTGCTGCCATCTGTTGCCAGGCAGATTAAAGGAACCAGCAAAGCATACTGAGATACGTTCACCGTCCGTCCGTCCATCCCGGTCCCACCCACCCCTATTTCCACCCCCTCCCCAGGCTCCACAGTATCAGCATTGTAAATTCTCCACTTGTTAGGCCTCAGCATTTGAATGTCTATACATGTGGCTCTGGGTGAGGGTTTGTTTTTTTTTTTTTTTTCTAGCATGTGAACAGACCTGGTAAAATAATCTCCCAGATTATTTGAATGCATGTACACAACCTAAATTAGGATCATGCACACCCGCATTTACTCTGTCCTATTTAGCCTGTCTTAAATTGCCTGGTCTAGTGTCTTATTAAAGAATGAACAGCATGTTACATACTTCCGATGTCTTTATGCATCTGCGTACTTAAGTTTTCAAGTACTAAAAATTGTACTACACTTTAGTTGTTTTTGCCCTTTGTTTTGAGCCCTTTCAGTGTTTTCATTACATTTGGTAAAATTAATTGTGATGGTTTGAGGGACCTAAAAGCTTCTTGATCTTGAGCTTACAATACTTACTAGTGTAACTGATGTTTGATGTCATGTGACTTGAGGTACAAAGCATTTTTGTTCTGATGCTCATATTCTACCCTTTTCAGCTAATGATAGGGTTTATATTAATTTTATATTAATAATGATTTTTTTAGCATGTCATTGTTGTAAATCATGAATGACTTGTTAGATACTGTATTTACTTAACTATAAAAAACCCTAAATATAAGATGACACCCCCTCCAATAATTAGATTCTACCTATGGAAAATGTATAATTTTTTGTTATAATTTTCCAGGTAAAGAATCTAAATATTGGAGGGTGTTTTGAGCTCCCCATCTCCCACTCCCCTATCATCTCCTCTCCTCTCTTCTCCTCCCCCTACCACCACCACACATACTCCACTGGAAGCTCAGCCCTGCCTGGCTATGCAGCAGTGTCAGTGCTGCTGATTGGCTGGGCTAGCAAGGCAGCAACTTTGGCACTGCTGATTGGCCAGGCAGGGGAAGGAGTTTCCATGTGCTATGTGCCTGGGAGAGACCCCAGCCTGAGCTGGAGCCAAGCTCTGCCTGGCAGTAATGGGGAGGGAAAGTAGGAGAGCAGAAGTTGTATAGGGGAAGCAGAGGGAGGGGCAGGAGGCTGTGGACCTGACTTCGGTCCCAACTTGGGCTCAGCACCACAGTCAGAGCTGAAGCCAGCCACTTGCTCCTCCTCCTGCTTTGTATGTGAATATAAAAGAAGAAGTTTTTTCCTCCCATTAATTTTGTAGGGGGGTGGAATCTCAACCTTTATTTTGAGTATATACAGTAGCTATACGTTGCCACCTTTCTGCTGTATTACGCAGACCTGGTTATATTCTGTGCTCTACCACTGACTGGCTCTCTAACTCTTGGAAAGTAATTGCTCTAACCTTAAATTGTCTGTGTCAAATGAAGCTGATAATGGTAACCCATTTGCAAAATTCTTTGCGACTTCTATTTTATAAGTGCTGTATAATGGTGGTGTATGAAAGTGCTAAGTGTTATAATATGAAAGATAGAAATGTTGACAGAGGACACTAATTCTTTCAATTACCTATAGGTTGGTCTCCCTGCAAAATCTGGAGTTGCAGGTGGTATTATTTTGGTTGTTCCTAATGTAATGGGCCTGATGTGCTGGTCACCTCCTTTGGACAAGATGGGAAACAGTGTTAAAGGGATTCATTTCTGTCATGTAAGCAAAGCTTCTACCTTCCCCCTGCCCCCCAACTAATATTTATTGAAATGATTTAAGTTCACTCTGGTTTGATTTTATGTTCCTTTGACCTCCTAGACCAGGATTCAGCAACATACATACAGCCTGCAGGCTGGATCTGGCCTAGGGATCCTTTTATGTGGTCCACAACTCTGCTAGAGCTTTAGCAGAATTTCAGGTGTAGGGGGTTTCACTTGGGCATCAGGGAGAAGTGGTGGCAGTGGTACTGCAGTGGGGAGTGGTAGCTCTGGTTCTGGTGGTTCAGGACTGGCTTGGAGATGGCCCATGCTAGATGCTAAGGGGGAAGTTAGATGTTACATTTGGACCAGGGGTCAGCAACAGTTTTGGGCAGAGTGCCAAAAACACCGCAACCTCAACTTGTAAGATGTTGGCATGCCAGGAGTGAACAGCAGGGAAGCCACGAGAGGCTCTATCCTTGTTGTGGCAACACAGCATCCTCATCATCTGCCCCAAGACTCATGTGCCAAGCAAAATACCTTTGTCATGCTCTGGCACGCATGCCGGGGGTTGCCAATCTTTGACTTAAACCAGGAGTTCCCAGACTGATATGTGTACCCTTGGGGGTATGCAAGATGCAGCTGGGGGGGTATGCAGGAGAAATTGTATAATGGCGGATTTAATTTTCATTAAATTTTCATTAATTTTCTCCAGAGCAGGGAGAGCCCAGTTGTCTTAGCTGTTAGCTATTCCCCTGCTTGCCATTTCTCTAGTGGCAAGTCAGACCTCTGCAGGCAAGAAGCAGTATTAACCCTTAGTGTGGGAGTGCTCACAGCACATTTTAACTTTAACGCTGCTTAACGTTGCACAGATTTAGCATGGTCTAAGTATAATGTTTAATTTCACTTTAAGCTGTACTGAAGCAGGCCCCTGCTGCAAAATGTTGCTGGCCCCTGCTCTAGGCCCATCAGGCTTATTTTCTCACTTTGTTTGCAAGTTTAATTAAAAATAAAATTTAGTTCCAGACTTCGCAAGCATTTAAAAGATATGATTTAAGCCAGGATCAATCAGACCCTGGCCCACAGGCCAGATCCAGCTGCAGCACCATGTCATCCACCCAATGGGGCTCCTCATGGGTTTGGAAATTTGGTGGTGGGGAACAATGGCACTCCTCTCCTGCTGCCAAATTTCCTGATCCACAGAGAGCCTGGGCCCTGTGCATTGGATTGGGTACTTGATCCCAGCAGTCAGAGCAGGGGTGGTGCTGGGCTTGAAGGCCCAATCCCATTTGGGGATGGAGGGGTCAGTGGGGTGGTACTGGACGCCAGTCCCAGCACTTGGGTTGGGGGAGGTGGTACTGGACTCCTAGCACCCAGTCTTGATGCACAGGGCTTGAGTTTTTGTCTATGTAGAAGTGTAACTTTGGCCAATATAACACCATTCTTATTTTATCAGCAGTGAATGTATTTAATCCAGTTATTGCCATGCCAGTGTGTCAGAAGTATGTGGCATTTATAAAAAGTTTTTCAGTGAATAATACATACAAAGTCAAAGGTGTTACTGTAGTTTGTGTAGCCATGCTTAAGCTAACTTTCAAATACCAAGCTGCAGTAGCAATAGGATGGTGGCTTGATCAGCACAGGGCTGAGTCGGGGCTGCAAAACCCACCAGGGTCCCTGGATGAATATCTAGGCAGCTAGCCTGTGGTGAGCTGGTTGAAATCTTCGTCTACATGAGTTGTAGTCGCACCTTTTGACTTTGTATGTGTTACTTACTGAAAGACTGTTTCATAAATGCTGTGTTAACATGATTTTGAAGTTAGCTGCATAACCCTTTTTTCATTGAGTTAATTAAGGATATTGTTAATTCTAATCCAAGTACGTTTTTAAGTCGCGTATCAAAAAGCCATATTTTCTGATTGAATTTCAGACTTACTAGGTAAGCAGAGGGATCTCATGAGAGACCTGATAACTGGCAGTCTTCACATATTGACAAAATGTGCCAAATGTTTATAAAAACAGCAAAGAAAAGCTACATGCCAATAGTACCTGTAATTGCATTTTCCCATAGGGATTTTTATTTAATTAAATTAAAAATCAGTGACTACATTGATTCTTCCTTGTTTAAGAGCTCAGAGAGCTGAAATGTTGCTATGATAGACAACTCTGTGAAGCATATATTACAAAGTTGCATATGGATGTATGAGAGAATTGTATAAATGAGCACCAATTTACTGCCAGTTATAATTTTGTTTTTAAAAGGTGTATGCTAAAATATGTTTAAAACTTGGTATACACATATTATAATTAAGACAAAATGTTTTTAAGGTTGTTTTGTAAATGGTATAATCCACCAGAGGCTACTCTTATGAGTGTTGAACTTAGTAACATTTTTGGTGAAACAAATATTGAAAGTGTTAGTAATGTCTGCTGTGGGTGAGATGTAATAAAATAAATTGTCAGGTGTATAAAAGATGAGGTTTCTCCTTATACAGGATCTGGTTGGTTTGTGCAATTTCCATAACTATGATAACCTGAGACACTTTGCAAAGAAACTTGATCCTCGCAGAGAAGGTGGTGATCAGCGGGTAAGCTAGATACGTTTTTTGACCAAATATTTTGTGTAGTCTTTTTAGATGGAAAATGCAGGGTTCATCTGTAAGCATAAAATTGCTCAATCACATGTATTGCTTTAAGCTTAAGCAAATATAACAGTTTAGTTCACTAGCGCACTATTTATAAGCATGTTTGTCCTATCTATGACTGGGTTTATATAATTATAAATACAATTTGTATAAGATTCATAGTTGCTGAGGAGTTGAGCATTTCTTTACCCTAGGTAGAGTGAATGTATGATATTCACTAAAAGTCATAAGTTTTACAGTTGTACTTTCTTTGTGGTTGATATTTGATTGACTGGCGTAGTCTTACTGTCATCCACTGCTATGCATGATGTGCAAGTTCACTGTTTTTTACATCGTTGTCACTGAGACCAGAGGACACAGACTGTGTTCCAGAGGCAGTTCACTCAGTGTTGTGTGTAGGGAAGGTAGCCTTGCCTTGTGCTGGACTAGTACCTCTCACTGATGAGCAGTATTTGCAGTTTTTGAAATGGGTCTACTCCAATTGGTTTGTATAAAAAGTGTGATTTGATAGATGTTCCAAGGTCACTTGAGAATAGAAGGTAAAAGTAGACATGTTTTCCTTAAGGTTTTAATAGGGATGTAGAGGTGTCTCTGGGGAAAGATACTGTAGAAGGATTTTTTAATATGCTTTTATTTGCATGTTTGCTTCTAATGATAACATGACATTTGAATTGCATATGGCTGGAAAATAGACCACAACTGTTTCTAACATCAAAATGTAGGGAAGGGTGAAAGCTGACAGCCTGTTCACATTTGATTGCAAAATATCAATAATTCTCAGGTTGTTTCTTCAACTACACTAATAAATAATATATGTTGCTTGAACAACTAGCATACCTTTGGACCATTCGACTATGAGAGTCTCCAGCAAGATCTTGCTTTAAAAGATACAGTGTGGAAAAAAGTGTCACCTGAGTCAAACGAGGACATCTCCAGAACCGTAGTGTATAGAATGGAAGGTCGGGGAGAGCAAAACTAAAGGAATGGGCTGTAGTTACAAAACGTTCTTCATTATAAAAGCACTCAAGAATCTCTAGATTAAACTTGGATTTGAGTATTGTTTTCTTAATACTTTGCTTGTATATAAAATTTGTGTAAATACTGTATGCCATACAAAACTGAATGTTAACTTTTAAAAAAAGAATGAAAAACAACACTATTAGCTGACATTTGTAGTTCCTTAAGACAAATTTACATAAACATAATCTAAGTATCTTTAAAGATATTCCTACTTTGATATACCTGAGTAATTGAAGTAGTTAAAGATGGACTCTTCAGCTGAGACAGATGATGTCATATGTGACATCGTATCTGATTTGGAATGAAGAGATTGTAAGTATATAACACAAAGTAAAATCTTACCGCCAAAATATAAAAGATAATGAATTTCCTAATAGTTTTCTTTTAAACAGATATAAATTATGAATCTGATATCACCTGTCCATAATCTTCTAAAGAGTTAAGGCAGGATTAGATTTCTTTGCACTGTTAGCAAAAATAAGCAAAGTTGATTACCAAATCTTACTTTTTTTACCAAATATTTTTAGTAAGTGATACTGAAATTTTGACAATAAGAGCAAAGTATCTTGTAATAGTATAAAGCTGCTTTACTTGCATAGCTAGCTAGCTCAGAGGATTATTATCAGAGTATTTTGAATTACTTGCTAGGAGCTTGTACTGTCAGTTGGTAGTTAAGGTACAAACGTCTGCCTTACTAATAATGCTGCAGTCTAGTCTTACAGAATGTAAGTAACATTAGATAGTAGTAAAGTAGCCAACTGAATGGTGAACAGAAAATATACTTAAATTTTAGTAAGGATTATTAAAACAGTGTTTACAAAATAAATCTTATTGAATGAATTAATTTTCAACAGAAGAATAGCTTTGTGTGTGCATACATATACAGCAATTTTATTAGATATATTATTAACTGTTTTCTTTTTGTAGTTTGAGTTTCCACCTCTTAAGTACTACTTTAACCATAAAGCTTTTTTGTCTTTTAAAACACGTCTTTTAAAGCTTAAAGAATGTTCTGTTGGATAGCCTGGCCATCTATGAAATGGTCACAGTAACTATTGAAATTAGTTTGTGTTCCATGGATATTTGGCAAAAGGCCAGTTTAATTGTTGAGTCGAAACATAGATGTTTTGCATTGATGCTGATTTTGTATAGAATTCTTTGTTGCTTATGTTGATGTCCCTTTGTACTTGCCTCCAGTATTTTGTGATTCTTACACCCTACATCTCTTAGCCACTATACAAAGATTGGTTTTATTAACTCTGAAGATTTGTCCAAGAATTTTTCATGAAAACTATTCATTTGCATAAATAAGAGCTCACTGATAATTCAAGAGCTAGTGATACATATGGATCCTGTTCACAAAGCTCCCTCTCCTGTTCTGCTTTCCCAAGAAGTTCCAAAATATGCAAGTATTTATATTTCGCACAAGGAAGAGTATACATTTATTAAAGAATGGATGGGAGAATATGCCAAGCTATGTAGGTATTCGTAAAAGAAAAATAACCATGAAGTAAGGCATATCTATGATAATGAAGAAGCCTATCTTGACCATACATGTTTTTGCAAACTTGTGAAGTGCTTCAAGATGTTATAAAAGGTGTTGCTGCAAATAGGCCCAAATGATTTTTTTTAGAGCAGTGCATTATGAAAGCATACCTGTATTATTGGGCTATGACTTTGAAGTAAATAATTATAATAGAATTGCATAAGCAGAATAATTCAGCAAACTAACTTGTGCTGTACTTAAATCCTGATAAAATGAACAGGATCAGTTAAAGGCACTTAGAAAAAAGGGCATATATTATTGAATGAAAAATAAGCTTATAATTCTATACCAGTTGTCTTCGGAAATTTGGAAGGAAAAGAGGGAAAAAAAGGGAGTTAAGGTCTATCCATCACAAGGTAAAAAAGGGCAAAAATGCATGTATGAAAACGTCACGTTACGGTAAAACAGAGTTAGAGAATGATGCAGATAATGGGTCTGATTCTTCAATCCTCTTTATGTGCATCTTCCAGTTGTGTTTGATTAGCTCAGAGGTGGGCCAGATGCAGCCTGCCAGGCCATTCTACCCAGCCCATGGGGCCCCTAAAAAATTTAGAAAATTAATATTTATCTGCCCCTGGCTGCCTGTCATGCGGCCCTTGATGGCTTGCGAAAACTGAGTAAGCGGCCCTTCACTCGAAATAATTGCCTGCCCCTGGATTAGCTAGTATTAATACTCAGACTAACAAGAATAGTTTGCATTGCTGATTTCACATGCTGAATGCCATTAAAATGCACCTGTGTGAGGCAAGGCATTCTTTGCTATTGAGCAAATCCTAAGATTTGTTTTTACATTATTTTGAAACAAATGTAAAAACTATAGCTAAAACTTGAGACATTGTTCCAACTGGATGCAAACCTTATAATATAAATACAAAACTTGCAGAGTTTACAGATGTAAATTGCAGATGGAATTAAGTGTAGAGGAAACAAATTATAGCTTTGTATTGAGCATGAGTACATTTACAAGACTCGAGTTGAATTAAACATGTATATACCTATAAATAAGAATATCCATGGTTATAATGATTCTTTTCAAAGTTTTGAAGGTGTTAGAAATCTTCATGCCTCAGACCCGAAGCCAGTCTCTAACGGTTAGGGGTTAGGAGGAAGCTTTCACTTGAACCAGTTTGCCCTGCAATTTGTGTTTCTTCCAGTTTCTTGCTCTTTGTCTAAAGCTTCTGGTTATTGGCTGCTGTTGGTGTATGTATTCACAACTAGTGGGACCACCATTTGAACTATTATGGCAATTTTTGCAGGCCTATGCATATGATTTGTAAACAAGGCCCTAACAAACATGGTGCTAGAGGTTAACCATTGCATGTTTGTCGAAGATATTCCTAAGTACATAAAGGTGTTGTTGGTCTTTTGTGTTACAGTTATACCAATTCTTGATATTCAAGTATTTTAGTTGTTTGTTAGTTTTTTTCTTTTGTCAGCATCAATAACATTTCATTGGAAATGTACATGCTTTTATAAACTTTGTTTTAGCATTTGTGTTGTACTTTTGGTTCAGTTGTGTAAGTTACTCTTTCCATTTTTCATTTGAATTGTATGTTATTTATGTATATTGATTTCTAGCATGCTTATTTTTGTATTGTGTAATAAATGTATTTTAAGCTTGCTTTTTATTGTATTTTGTATTTATGAAGTACAACTTGCATTCAAGTATATTTTTGGAGACTGAAGTGAGATTGTGAACATGTCTTTTATTTTAAATCAAGATGAAGTTTCTGGAAAAAGTAGAAACAAGGAATGATTAGTTAAACATTAATTGACGATACTATAAAGATTTCTCCTTTTTTATTTTGTTCCGAATTCTTACTTGGTTTTCTTTTGACTTACAGTAACAAGTTCAAAAAAATCAGTTAACATTGGTCTTTGTTTAACTGCCACTGTAGACATTTTTTTCGCTTCTAATAAGTAGATGCTAATGTGATTGAGCTCTTAGTTTTACTCGTATAGCAAAATTCCTGATGTCATTCTGCACCCACATTGTTCAGAGAGATTTCAAGTTGAAGGCTTATGGCAAAGCAGTTGGGAAGCATGTTGGTTGTTTGTTGTCCCAAAAGAATAATTGTGGGTTAAGCTTAAAAAAAGTTTAACGTGTATATATTACGTACAATCCAGGAAATATCCCAAGCTTCATCTTAACAGTATGACTGTAGACTAGTTTGAGGTTGGAACAGTTGATATAGTGATTCTTGCAGTGTTCTGGGGCAATATCTGACTTTTGAGCAAAGAGTACATAACTCTTGGCATATTTTCCACCCTCTGTCATAAATTTAGCATTTGATGTTGCTAGATGTAGTGGAAGCTTGTGCAGAGACAGAATGCAGGATATTAGACATTCATAACAGACATTCTGAGAGGATTTGCT